TTTTAACTCTAACAGGGAGAGTGCACCATATAGTGTAGTGTAGTGGACAGAGAATGGATGACAGTCGGATTCCAAAAGATCTCCTCTATGGAGAATTAGTGCAGGGAAAGCACCCCAGAGGGAGACCACAGCTGTGATACAAGGACATCTGCAAGTAGGATCTGAAGGCCTTAGGAATGGACCTCAGCAGATGGGAAACCTTGACATCTGAGTGTTCAGCCTGGAGGCAGGTGGTGCATCATGGCCTCTCCAATTTGAAGAGACACTTGTTCAGCAGGCCGAGGCAAAGAGGCAGTGCTGAAACCAGCAAAACCAGGGAGCTGGACAGGTGACAGATTGTATTTGTCCTCAGTGTGGAAGGGATTGTTACTCTCGAATTGGCCTTCTCAGCCACACTAGACGCTGTTCCAAGATCTCTATTCAGAGCATGTTACCATAGTCTCTTGAGACTGAAGGATACCTACAGAGTGGATAGAGTGACAGACTAGGACTCTGGAGAACAGGGTTTGAATCCCCACTTGGCCAAGGAAATTCACTGGGGGAGAAGAACTGATAAAGCCACTCCTTAAACATCTCACTTGTTAGGGTCACTGTAAGTCTGTTCCAACTGGAGAACACAAAACACACACAAACAGTAAACCATGTGCCTCGCTTAACGGGCGCCCCGTTTAATGACAAAATCGCATAGCGATGAAGATTTTGCGATCGCTTTTGCGATCGCTTTGCGATGGTCTGAATGGGGTTTTTTCGCTTTGCAACGATCGGTTCCCTGTTTCGCTTACCGATTATCGCAAAGCGATGATTTTCCCCCAGCTGATTGGCTGTTCCAAAATGGCCGCCGGGTAAAAAAAATGGCCGCCCACTGTGTTTAGGGACAGATTCCTCACTTACTGGGCAGTGAAAATGGCCGCCGTATGTAAGATCTTCGCTTAAAGGTCAGTTTTAAGCTCATAGGAACACATTGAAGGGGTTTTTAAATCACATAGCGACGATCGCTTAGCAGCTATTTTTGCTGCACCGATTAACGTCGCTATGCGAGGCACCACTGTATTTCTAGGCTATAATACTTTTATTATTGTTTATTTTATTAACTAATTTGTTTTATTTATAGGCCTACTTTCTCTTAATAAGAGGACCCAAGGTGGCTCACTGTATTGAAAAGAGTCATATTAAAAACATAATAAGTTGAATAATAATAAAAAAATACACTATACAGTAACTAAAATACAATTGGATAATTAAAAGCAAGTAAACGTTAGAAACTATCAAAACTTTAAAAATGTTAGAGCAACAGTTTTAAGGAAGAAGTTTGTAGTGATGGCAAACTTTTTTAAAAAGTTGAGTGAACTGTTTATTAGAATTTGCTTTTGGTTGACATTTAAGAAAGCACTGTATTTGATTATTTTACATTATTTAAGTATCTTTTGTAATGGCTACAGCTATACAAATAAACTTGTTTTACTTTTATTTATTTATTTATTTATTTATTTATTCGTTCGTTCGTTCGTTCGTTCATTCATTCATTCAGTACTCTCTGAGATGAGATAATATAATTTAATTTAATTGACTATAAACTGATAAAAGTGAAAAAGCTGTGAATGTTTGAATCCAGTGTAATTTTGCTTCAAGCTATTGCTAGTTTCTTTTTGGCATCTCTCCCAGTTTGACCTAGTAAAGATAATAATCTGTTCCAGAGTTGAGAAACCTTCAGCCCCGGAAATATTACTGAACTTCATTTCCCATCAGCTCTAGGCAGCCTAGCAAGTGTCAAAGTATGATGGGAGCAGCAGTTCATCAGCATCTGATGGACTGAAGTTTTCCCATCCTTGATTTTCTCTGTGGTCACAATCCAAACCTCAATTAGCTTTCAGCATGTGCACACATTTTTTGTGCATATAAGAGCCCTCCACCCAACCAATAACACTATTCTGTTCAGCTTTAAGGAAATTGCTATGTGTGCAGTTGAAATTGCTATGTGTGCAGTTGGACTGAATGTAGAAACCTTTCCCTGACATGAAAGAAATAAGCTTTCATTTGCATATGTAGGTTTCCATATATGCAGCAAATTCTCAGGTTATTCCCATGAGTCCCATATCTGTAACCAAAATGCTAGTAATACCCCGAAGCTTCTGTCTAAATGGATGTTTGTGGAACTCCATTTATTACATTTGTGCGATAGAATTGGTGTGCTTTTTGCAAAATAATCTTAGCTTTTCTGTACAAAAGAATTTTAATTTGAGGAGGTCTTCTTGCTATACGTGCTCAATTTAACAGATCTTTAAAAATTGCAAGGAGCTCTCTGGCTTCTATTTTTGACATCCAGAAGCCCAAATCTAAACTGTATCTCCATCTTTCTACATTTAAGGTGAAACATTTAGATTGTAATTTATGCCAACTGCCTAAAGCATAGAATTGGGTGCATTTTAGTTTATAAAGTAAAATAAGCAGTCTGTACTGCATACTTTCCTATTAAGCACAGATTAATTGGCATGTAGTATTCATAGCAGCAATTTTCTTTCCCTCTTGTTTAATTGCCATTTATTAGGTATATGAGAGAGGATCAACTGTGGCTTATGAACAGCTTGTTTGCATTGATCTCTTCAAGAAATGTCACTGTGTTTATCTGTCTTTTTAAAACCCTCTAAGGGACGTACTGCCAGCAGAGAGAAGTGGAGGCCATCACAGAAGGAGATGAAGACCATGAAGGCTGCTGCTGCTGCAAGCCTGGCCATTTACCTCACTTGCTCTCCTGTAATGCAGCTTTTAACCTTCGATGGCTGACCTGGGAAATAACACAAACTCAGTATATCCTGGAAGGGTACAGCATTATTGACAACAACGCGGCCACAATGTTCCAAGTGTTTGATCTGCGAAGAATACTCATTAGATATTATATAAAGGTAAAATGTGACCGCTTATCTCGAGGAATGATGTATGTAGCTCTGTTTCATGTACAAACAAACCGCTAGTGATCAGGAATTGGTACGATGGCCATTGCCTTAGTGACATCTCGAATCTCACTGCTGGTGTAACTGGATGGGGGTCAGGGAGGCTCCCAAGTTTACACTGTCATAGCAAGGTAGTGTCACATCAGAAAAGACATATCAGAAAAGTCAGGTGAGGAAGTGGCCTGTTGGAGACTATGAAGTGCCAACGTGGGCTACGATCTGTTCCTCAATGAAAAGACCTATGCCCGCCCTCCCACATAACTGACATTGTGTGGATGAAACAGGAGTATTATCTCAAACTCAAAACTGCTATGTTACATCTGTGAAACAGCACCATATAAAGACAGAAATCCATATTACACAAAAGAATATGATCAGGCGTTGTCACAGTCCTGTCCTCACTAACACCAGTATGCCAACAGATCACAAAGGGGGAGGTGGGATCAGAAGCTGTCAAAACACTGCCCTGTGCTGTCACCAAAAAGGGATGCCGAGTCCCTTCCGCCAGCAGCCATTTGCCAGAGAATCACGTCGGCCAGTCCGGTTTCAGCAGATGAGATGATGATTACAGTCTAGGTCATGCTGTTTTAGCTTCCAGGCACTCTTCTTAAGGAGGCTGTAGTCCACTACTGGCTATGGAAAGAGTAGAGGGAAATTATTGACTCCTGTTATCAGCTGATGGAAGTGACTTTCCCTCTGTTGGAGAGACATTTTTGGAGATAAAATCACTCCTTACCGTGATTGGTGGAGACTGCTCAGTATCTTCCCTATCAGTTTCTGAGGAATATAGAATTTACTAAATTGCAGTTTTAGGCTACAATGAAGGGTGATTACATTAATAGTTTACTGGCCCTGGGGCAAGATATCTTGCTGACTACAGCTGATAACAGGTTTCTGGACTGGAAAGGTCTTTGGTCTGATCCAGTAGCGCTCGCTCTCAGGAGCAAGTGCTTTGTGCTAGCCAGGTACTGCACACAGGTGATAGCATACAACCTGGATGTGAATATGATTCATTTAATATGGAGCTTTAAAACTCCACAATTTCTGCTGACTGCCCAACCAACTGAATTTCTAAGACAACATATACACATGTATGAATGCACTGTGCATTCACTGTTATCTTCAGATAATTAGTGCATACAATTCCAATCAACATCTGAACTGACTCTGTTTTTAACCTATTCATTCTTCAAATCTGAGCCCATGAAGAAATGAAATGAGCCACATCACTGGCCATATACAGTGTAGCTGTATCAGCTTGTTTTGTGTTAAGTAAAAATCTTGAAATGGAAGCAAAAAAGATGGCAATACATTTTGACATTAAAGGTTGTTCTCAGAAAACTCTAATTGGAGAACAGGATATATCTTTACACCACCTAGTGAGGCTGCTGATTTATTTAGCTCTTCATGTTTGCCCTGCCTGGTGGATGTTTTCTAGGATTTCAGACTAGCATTCCCCAGCCCTATCTGGAAGATACTGGGGATTGAACCTGTGACATTATACATGCAAAGTACTATATACCACTAAACTATGTCCTGTTAATGAATCATAGACTGTTCCCTTAGTTATTTTCCACCTAAATTTTAATATCTAAGTTAGTGTACCATGACAGTTAGATCATACTGAAACTGGAAAGGGGCTGGCTGTGGCTAAGGGTTCAGTGTCTGTCTGAACTCGAGTAAATGGAATATTTGAGGATTTAATGCATCCTTTCCCCCCTCACCTTTTCCTGGTGAAGGGAATTGGTGTACGATGAGAGTGCATTTTGCCAACAGGGAGGCTAGCTGGTTTAAGGTTCGGAAATGGGGAGATTGAGGGATAGATTGGAAATCAGATGACTTTGGATTTGCTTGATCCAAAGCTGCCCAGTTGCCCTGAGACCAGCCAGATATGAACCAGCTGTGCCAGACACGTGCTGATGTCACTAACCCTTCCTTCCTTTCAAAAATGTAACAATCCCTTTTGCTGAAATATCTGGGACTTCTCCCTCCCCAACATATACTTTTTGGTCTGATTGGTAAAAGCTTGCAGGACTTGGGTGAGTTGAAAAATCCCCCACTCCTCTTTTCCCTCCTCCAAACAGGATTGCATCTGTCCTTCACTATCTTGTTTTTATCATACTGAAGTCTAAGCATGAGTTTGTATACAGCCTGTATTTAAAATTTATTAGGGAAGCTGAAATGTAGCAGAGCTAAAAAGAAGGAGAAATAGAGGGTAAAACATAATCCATTAGAAATCAGGAGTGGTAACTTCTTTTGAAGAACATATGCAACTAAGTAAATACATTGCAATCACAGAAGAAATGTGAGCCTTCAAAATATTTAATTTTGCATCATCGTGTGCTGGAGGATTTCACGTTTATCTTTTAAACAATGCTTAGCAGTTGGCTTTTTAAACTGATTTTTTTTAAAAATTTGGTACTTGCCACTGAGTTGACAGCCAAAAATGAGGGTGGGGGTGCTTTCTCTACATAAAAGGAATTTTGCTCTCCTTTAATAAAGTGGGTCAATTCCTGTAGCCTGTTCTGCATATATTTGAAATAATTTCCTGCCTGGTTACTATGGGTTATTTATTCCCTCTGTGCTTTCACATTCATTTTTCAATTTATTATTTTTTAAAAATATATTTAAAGAAAGCAAAAACCTTTGAGTGTGGAGATTTTTTTTTTAAAAAAATGTGGCTTCTGCAAAGCTGTTTTCAAAAGGTTCAGTGTGCTTATCACTTTCCATACACTGCAAAATTAAAACCCTATTCTTGTTTTTTTTAATCCATCTCTCCATCTCTTTTCTTTGTATTGCATAGGGTCTTTTCCTCACATTTAATTGTTAATTTGAATATGCAGCTGGAAGGGTAGCACTCATGAATTTTAAATAGGTTTATTGATAACACTAGTTCTATTATGCCCTTCAGACTCACTAATTATACTGTTGTTTCTTTCACTTTTTAACTGCCACATTTGATATACAGTCTCGTCCAGCAACGTTCCAAGAGTGTAAACAGTTGAGGGGTGTGTCATAACCATGTGATATGAAAGAGACTGTACAATGTTCTTCTTAGATAGCTTAATTTTACTCTTTTGGATTTGAACAAACATCCTATCTGTCTGTCTGTCTGTCTGTTTATTTATTTATTTACTTATTTATTTATTTGTCAACAGAGCATAATATACTTTACTGCAAGCTCCCCAAAAATTTTGTACTGGCTAAGAGATGAATCATTTCAGAAGACACTACAGCCTTTCTCCAAATGGCATTATATAGAACGAGACCTTGCAATGTTTAATATCAACATTGATGATGACTATGTCCCCTGCCTCCAGGGAATCACCAGAGCAAGCTTCTGCAGTGTTTACTTAGAGTGGATTCAGTTCTGTGCTGCAAAACAAATGGAGGTACATGAATATTTCTTTTTTGTTGCTAGTATGTTCTGGATTAATATTGTGGCAAGATATGTGGAACAGAACTAAGCACGTGTGTTCCAAATTCTAAAATATTGACCAAACTGAAGCAAAAGGTCTCTGTTACTTCTGTTCTACTCAACATGATATTGTTTCTAATGCATTGTCTCAGGAGATAAAAAGCTCTTGGCTGACTGCAAAGAGCCATGAAGCGCCTGTTCAGAGGAAGATGTGAGGAAAGTACACAATAGATGAGAAAACGCGTGGAGCAGGGAAGAGTTAGAAGAGACATCTGGTTCATCAGTTACATCGTCCAGCCAGCTATGGAACTTTTCCAGCTGAAATGATTTTGAGATGAGAAAGAGAGAAAATGGCTCCTCAAATTTGCACAACTGTTCTTCCGAAATACAATTAATAAGGCACCAGCTTTAGTTTGGTTGGAAGTGTCAGTCAATGAACCTTACATTAATATGCTGTAGAAACAGGCATCAATGTCAAAGATAGCAGGACAAAGCTGTGAAAGGTTACTATTTTGGAGGGGACTATGTCTTCAGAATCTCCTTGTCAGCATGTCCAAGGGTCTATAGTGGTTGGAGGATTCTGGAGATTGTAGTCTAGAAGACTAACTTTCCAAAGTTCTGAAGCCGGGTACATTTTTTTGAGAATGCTTGTCGCATGATGCAATGGGTTTTAATAGAGCTTTTCTTGTAAAACTAACTAAAACCCTGAAATATTTTATAGCATATCGACTGTGATGAAGATTCTCGGTTAGTAACACTTTCCTTTGCCTTGTGCATCCTGGGCAGAAGAGCACTGGGAACAGCATCACACAATATGGCCATCAGGTAATTTTATAATCACATCACAATCCATATGGCAGGAATAGTTTGCTTGTGGCTGAGAAGATGTGTTGGCTTATCTGAAACTGGTTTTGCTTTTCCAGTTATCACCAAATACTGTGATTAGCAGAAGAAAGAAGACATTCAGGAGGTAGATGTACAATACATTTTGAAGTTAGTAGCCCCTGGCAATTTTGTCAGAGAAATGCCCCGTATTTGTAACAAACTGGTACATGGTAGAACAGCAGACTCAGAAGCTGCCTTGAGATTTAACCTTGCCTTCTGATATAGATAAGTTAGCTTTCTCCACATAAAACCTCTGGATAATTTGACACAAATGGCAATATGTTCTGTCAGTAGAAAGGAGAATGTGTCATTTTGGCCTTGGTAACTTAATAGAGCAAATGTATATATGTTTAAAAGGAATAACAGCTAAAATTAATGTTTTAGTGTTCGGTTCAATAACAGTCCAATAAGCATATAGAGGATTACCACCTTTCCGTAGTCAACAGATATTTCTCTGTGGTGCAGTTCAGACCATCTTTCTCTTACATTGTTTAAGAATAAAAGATTCATGATATGTTTGGTTTTAACAGGGGGAAAAGAACAATTGGTAAAGAGATACTTTTGATTTATCAGCTTTATTTATAGAAAGCAACGTGAAGAATATTGGCTTTTCATACCACTCTACCAGAATATTTGTTGGAGAGCAGATATGTTCATGACATTCATTCAGATTGCAAAGTCAGAGTCAAGCAATTTGCTGCTCATTGATCTTGTATGTGGTTTATCGTTGTTGTCATCCTCATCCTCACCATCGAACCTATGGCTTAAATTAGGCCATTTTCAGGCTGAAAATGAGAGCTTCATATGCACAATCCAAGTCATTTGCACTAGAAACAATCACAAAATAATTATGAAGCAAGGTGTGAATGATATATGCAGGGTCTGTCACAAATTCATAGAATAAATCTATTATAGATTATTGCCATAAGCTAGCATCAACGAATTGTAACTCTTTGCATAACCAAATTTCAAAGATCATATTTAAGCAATTGGCTAAATCTTACCAATTACCGTACTCACATATTTTCCTTCATATTATAAATCCCAGCAACTTCCAGTTTAAGAAAACAAAATCATAATACTATCCTGGGGAAAAAAAGTTGTCACAGACAGAACAGTTGATTTTAATCAGCCAGACATTGTAGTTCTGAATAAATGACAAATTAAAACATACCTTAGAGAATGTATTTGTGAAGGCTTTCACAGCTGGGATCTAATGGTTGTTGTGGGTTTTTAGGGCTCTTTGGCTGTGTTCTGAAGGTTGTTCTTCCTAACATTTCACCAGTCTCTGTGGCCGGCATCTTCAGAGGACAGCACTCTGTGCTCTGGTGTAGGTGGCTTGGGAGTGCCAGTATTTATGGCTGTGAGATAGGCTTTTGTCTATTTCTGTAGATGGGTGATTAGTGTGTCTTGTTGTGGGTGTATTGTTGTGATAAGGAGAAGAGATTATCTGTCACTGTGGTCGATGGGTGTCATTAGCTGGTCTTTTGTGTGTAGTAATCCCCTGTCCTTGTGGCTGGGTAGAGTTCGTTGACCTTTTGCATGCTGTATTTTTGAGAGCTGGGAGCCAAGTTTTGTTGAGCTTCACACTTTCCTCTTTTTTGTTGAAGTTCTGCTGGTGCTTGTGGATTTCAGTGGCTTCCCTGTGCAGTCTGACATAATGATTGCTGGTGTTGTCCAGTATTTCAGTATTTTGAAATAGAATTTTATGTCCAATTTGTTTTAGGGCATGTTCAGCTACTGCAGATTTTTCTGGTTGTTTTAGTCTGCAGTGTCTCTCATGTTCTTTGATTCTGGTGTGGATGCTTCGTTTTGTAGTTCCAATATATATCTGGCCACAACTGCACGGTATCCGGTGTAAGCACTCAGCTCTCCTAAGAGAATGCTGGGGCTCGGAATAGAGAGGTTCTAGAGTCCAGTGTACCCCTATTTAAGTTGAGATGAGTCCTTTTCTCAACTAGGCTGTCACACCTGGCACTCTTTTCCCAAGTCTATTCCTATTAAATAATTAACTGAGAAAACCAAAGATAAAACCATGAGTCTCAGAGTCTGCTAAGACCAGCAAAACTCAGGTAATTAATTGGACTCAGTAGCATATTTGTGGCCTAAAAAGGAATTAAGTAATTAAGCAGGTTGTCTGCTCAAAAGACCAAACATAAGTTTTTAAGTATTATTGTTTTATTAGAAAAATAAAGAATTTGAGATATTCAGTTTGTTGCAAAGCATAGCATTCCATATACATTTCCATATGCTAAGATAGTTAGAAACACAGCAAATCTCAGCTATAAAAATAAAATAAGAAAACTCTACTAGCTAGAAAGGTGGGTAAGGCTGAGCCCCCCCCTTCTCTATTCTCTGCTATGAACTACATCCTAGCTAAAGCAATGGGAACTCCAAAGTCCATTCAAAAATCCATAATCCAAGGTAAAACCTAAAAATCAAAAAGGCTCAAAAAAAGGTTCTCTCTGTGTCAGTCTCTCTCCATTTTCTTCTCATGCTGGAACACCCTCCTTCTTCACTCTCCACTGATGTACACCAATCAGGACGAAGGACTGCTCATCTCTCTCCACCTCCTTTTCTCATGGGATTGCAGGTGTTATTGACATTCTTCCTCGATGTTATGTCTTTGGTCCTTATCGTCTCTGGCCAAGGCTGCTACATGGAAAATTCCAACTAGCTCTCAGCGAAAACAGCTTCTCGAAGCATCTAGTTACATGATACACAGACTAGGATGGATTCCTTCTACACCATTCCATGACTACAAATCCCATTTAGAAATTACATTCTAGCTTCAGTAACCTAAACCATGACATCCGGTGTACTCCTGCAGTGGTGAGGGGGTCCCTTCTGTCCTTTGCTGACCGTAACATTTGTTGTATTGGGGGGGGGGCTGAATACTGTTTGTAGGCTGTGTTTTTTCAGAAGTTTCCCCATGTGGTCCGTGACCCCTTTGATGTATGGCAGAAATACTTTATTTGTGGGTGGCTGTTTTTCTTCTTCATTCGGTGTTGTTTTCTTGGTTTGATGGATCTTGTGATTTAATTTTTGGAGTAGCCATTTGCCTGTAGGGCCCAATTCAGATGGTTGAGTTCAGTGCTGAGAAACTGAGCTTCACAGTTCCGATTTGCACGGTCTACCAGTGTTTTGATTATGCCTCTTTTTTTGCTGTGGGTGGTGGTTGGAGTTTTTGTGTAGGTACCGGTCTGTGTGGGTGGGTTTTCTGTAGACCTTGTGTCCCAGGCGGAGGTCAGTTTTGCGTAGGACCGTGACATCTAAGAACGGGAGTTGGCCCTCTATTTCTTTTTCCATGGTGAATTGTATATTTGGGTGGATGCTGTTGAGATGGTTGAGAAATTCTTCCAATTTTTCTTCAGCGTGACTCCAAATTGCAAATCCACATATCGGAACCAGACTGTGGGTGCGAGGGGTGCCGAAGCACCCCATGTAGAAGTTTGCTATAACCGGGCTGAGGGGACTGCCCATGGCCACTCCATATGTCTGTTCATAGAATTCGTTATCCCACTGAAAATAGCTGGTCGTTAGGCAGTGTTGGAAGAGGACCTTGATGTCTTCTGGAAATATCTGCTGGATGAGTGTCAGGGTGTCCTTTATTGCTACCTTAGTGAACAGGGATAGTACATCAGCTCCACAACAAATGAATTAGCCAAACACCTAGCGACCCTCCTACAGACCCACATTGGACAAATCTCATCCTACATCAAAGACTCATAACATTTCATAAGCAAGATCAGCAACCTAAAACTCAACCCTGGGGACAGACTGATCAGTTTTGATGTAGTATCCCTGTTGAGTGCAGTAGGACCTGCTCACAGGTAAGCATGGTAAAGCTTTGCAGACTGAGCCTCTCTGCTTGGCAAATACAGCTTTTTTGACCTGACATGTTTTCCTTTCTACTTGTAAATTGGTCTGGAATAACTATATATTTAGCATTCCGTCTCTATCAGTCTACATTATACCCGAATTGGGATCTAAGTGAACTCATTAGTTTAAATTCTTAAAGCTGAACATATGAGAAGCTTATTCAAAATGAATTTTGTTATAGGAATAGGACTGTGTGAAATTAAAGCACCACAGGCATTATTTTGGAGCAGCCGATCTCCGATTGGAGCAATTATTCTTTTAGTTTTGTGTTGCTGAGCAGACCTAAAGGAAATTTTGGACTGTAGCCACAATAGTTGAAGGCCATTTCCCAGCATATATAGATGCATTTAAATTAGCCGGCAGAATAATTTGCAGAATAACTGTCGGAATGATGCATCTTAAATTGAGCAAATGCTATAGATTTGAACTAATAAGTCCGCTGTACAGTGAAAAGAGAAAATCAGACAATTCTGAGGAACAACTCCGGCACAGTAGTAACATCTGCACGTATTATTTTATTTCTGCTTTCATGAGTCTGATCTCGTCAGTAGCACTGAAAAAGAAATAAAATGTTGAAACTAATTGAACTACAGAATCTTTCACCACTATTCTATTCTTAATGTGACTATCCTTTGCCATAGCAGTGCTCTGCCAGTAAGAAGCCGTTGAAATGTTTTTTTTAGGTACATTTGGATATGCTGGGTCCCAAGTGCATTTATGTGATAAGCCAAATTATCCTTCATAGCTGTAATGATGGATGCAATAAAAGCTTTCACCCAGAGCTGTTTTGTTGCAGTTTGTCTTGTCATACTGTTGCCATAATTGTTAAAGATATTATAGATGTTACAGTATAATACCGTTCCAAATCACATTCTAGGAAATATCTTTTTGGTTTCTTAAAATTTCTCAAACCATTTCTCGCACCAAAATAAAGATGCAGCTTTGCAACCAGAAAGGGAGCTGGCTGAAGCAGAAAAGTACACATCTTTATCCTCTAATGACTTCCAGGCATTGCAAATTAATTGTTTGACAATGGGCAAGTGAGAAGAAACAAAGGCTCTGTTTGCAAGTTTATTTCCACATATATTTCAGGCATGTAAATATGTGCTTGGAGGGATTTCTGTATTTTCCAATTGTTCAGTTATTTGCTTTGGTTCTTAGAATTGGTTCTTAGCGGTTTTAGATCAAGCCATAAAAGGTGCAATCATTGACAAGCAAAATTATTTTAAAGAAATAATCGAACAGACCTCTGGTTCAGTCCAGGAATTGTGTTAATATGCAGAGGTAAGTGCTGGTTATGACCTTCCCCCTACGGCTTGCGCCCAGGCTATTTGAAGGATCGTGTCTTCTTACATAATCCCCATCCTTGGTCTCTTGAAATCTTTAAGGGAAGGACTTCTCTTGGTCTTGCTACCATTTCAGGCATCTTTATTGGAGATTTGAGAGAGGCATTTTTGCTGGTTGTTCCCAGTCCACGGAACTCATTCTCATAAGAGACTAGTTTTATTCCCTCCTTATAATCCTTCTGCCAGTAGATCAAAGTCTTTCTTTTTAAACTAGCCTTTCTTCTGTGGAGGCTCTGATAGGATTGAGGTTTTCAGTAAGAGATGCAGCAATCGTTTTTTATTATCATGTGATGTTTTAACATTGTTAAGTTTGATTATATTTTTAATATTAATATCTTAATTTATTTTGATTTCAATCTTCTGCTAAGCCATATTTCAGAGTGTTGTATTGAAGCTGAACTGGGCATGTCATTAAGTATTCTATTTTTTGGACAATATTTTTTCCTGTTCCTGAAATAAGGAAGTTCTTAAAATGGAGAACAGAAAAGGGAGAATCCCAGCAATGGAGTCTGGAGGGAGACATCCCATAGAAACTTCCCTAAAACATATTATCACTTCTCTCCAAGGATGCCATCAAAAATGCTTCCTTGCAATACTCTCTTTTGCATGGATTAAGTTATTTCCTGTGAGGTTGACACTTTGGTTGTAGTCCAAGTTCCAGTCTTCTGAAAAGCAAGCTTCAAGGCAACTATGTAAATCTTTTTTAATATGAGCAGCAGCAATAGTAGCAGCAGGAGGAGTAGTAATACTAATAGTAACCTCAACTCCATTTAGACACCTGCTCTTTAGGTCTGAGATGTACCATATTTGCCGGTGTATAAGGTGACTGGGCGTATAAGACAACCCCCCAACATTTCCACTCAAAATATAGAGTTTGTTATATACTTGCTGTATAAGACTACCCCCTCTTCTGCATGCATGATTCTGGTTCCTTTTGCTGGGAGAGAGCGAGGGTTTCCTGGAAGAAGGACAGCATCAGCACTGAACAGCAGATTGTCAGGAAGCAGCAGAGAGGCGGCAGCCATTTTGGAGAGGAGGCAGCCATTTTGAGAGGCAGCAGCCATGTGGTCGCATCTCAAAATGGCTGCCTCCTCTCTGCTGTTCCCGACAGTCAGCTGTTTGGCGCTAGAGTCAGGCTGGTCCCAGGCTAGGAGTGGAGCTCTACTCGGTCTTACTACCATGTAAGTGACTTCGCTGGAAGAGAGGGAGGGCTTGCTGGACGTGCACCCAGCGTACAAGACGACCCCCCCACTTGGAGGTATGTTTTTCCGGGCCAAAAAGTCATCTTGTACGCTGGCAAATACGGTATCTTGTTGTTGTTTAGTTGTTTAGCTGTGTCTGACTCTTCGTGACCCCATGGACCAGAGCACGCCAGCATGTTGGAGTACAGGTCTGATTCCTGGCATCTCCATTGGGAAGCATGCAATGGAAGAGACCTCTGCTGTGGACTCTGGCAACCCGTTGCCAATGGCCAAGATCTTACTGAAGCAAAGTAAGATCTGTACTGGAGCAAAATTTCCAACTGGCATAGTAGCACAGGGTTGTGATAGTTGTGTCAGTACAATGCCCGTTCCACATTGTACAACAGAGTGCTTGATACATCCCTGCACACATGGAAAAAACCTCAAACAATTTGGTTAGGAGCTTGGTCAATAATTGTAGATAGTATTGGAGACAAATACAGACCTAATATAAGGCAAGCTCTTTATGTCTCAAATTCTAGGGGTTTGGATAGATGGTCCTCATAAAATCCTAATATTTTAGTATGTTTTTCTTGAAAACTGTGCAAAAAGCTTCCAAGTCTTCATTATCCTTATTCTTCATGCTGCTTGTATTCTCTGCCTTCTGTTCTTTCAGCATCATTCTGATTAAATAAAGTTCACATATTGGGAGTACTCCTGGAACCTCTTTTGCTCTTCAGAATCCAGGTGGCAGTTATAATGAGGACTGTTTTTTAATCAGTTATGCTACAACTGTCAAAAGCTTTTGATTTTCGGTCATCTAGAAAGGGAAGCACCTCTGCCTGACAGCTACCAGGCAGAATCAAAGCAAATAAACCCTGCTTACTCCAGTCCTGCAAGCCACGGCTTCCTGACTCCTCTCTCCACATCCCCACTTAGGGGGAGCTGGAAGAGATTCATGAGGACCTTTGCTTGTTCCCAGGCTTTGTCAGAGCATAGTTTCCCATGGGGACCACACCAAGACTATCTCTCGGTATCTTTAATGAGAAAAAGAGGCTTTGCATCATATTTTGGTGAGGATTCTTCTTAGATGGGATCTAAATGCAACAGATAACAAGATTCACAGGGTTTGTTTGTTCCCAGTCTTTTATGTGATGACCCCATCTATACAACTAATAGGCCTCTGCAAGAAAGTGTTCTGCACTTTTGAACTGGAATCAGTAGAGCACAATCAGTTTTTAACTGCAAGCCTGGCCTGCAGCTGCCATGAATGGGAGCCAGCCAGGAAACCTGTTTTGAACTGGCGTAATGGGAATCAAGTTTGCAATAAATAATGTCTTTCTCCTACAGTTTGGATTCTTTCCTTCATGGACTTCACGCCTTGTTCAAAGGAGATTTTCGAATCACGTCAAAAGATGAATGGGTGTTTGCAGATATGGACCTCTTACACAAAGTTGTTGCTCCTGCAATCAGAATGTCTTTGAAGCTCCATCAGGTACATTTTCCCCATGATGTGTTTTCAGCAGCACAAGTAGTGATATTGCTTATAATTCTAAATTGAATTAGTAGAGTTCCAACATTACTTGGCTAAAAATTATATCCAATAAATATTGGCTAATGAAACAGAAACAAAAAAGCACATGTGCAGTTGTGGCTTTCGTGTATGGAACAAAAACAATGAATTTATCAAAGGCTGAATCCTGCACTTCCTAGCAATTATACTTCTAATTACTTCAGCATTTTGTCTGCGTCCAAAACTGTCACATAGTCAGTTAATCCATTAGCCTTGCATAGCAAAAATTATTGAAGTCCGTTCTTTCCGGGCAGTTCTCATCCTGTGCCTTTCAATATGCCTTGTATTACTGGTACATTCTGGATTACATTCTCCGTTCCAGGATGAATGTCTTTAAGGCCATGAATATGTGCAGAGTTTTACAGTATTTGAGGGATTGAAGCCGATCTTGAAATTTTATCTATTTGCTTCTCTTACTTGTTTCTTCGTCTATTGGTTAATTCTGCAACCTAAATCCAATAAAATGTTAGTAGAGGAAAATTATGTGCTAGGAAAGTTCAATTTCTGTTCCACTTGTAGCAGCTCATCCATTCTTGTCCTCTTTAGCCATGGCATCACCTGTGCACAGCCAGTTGCATGGCTAGAAACTAATGAATACCCCCCCCACTCCCTACTCATTGTTTGATCCTGGGTGTCCAGGTGTACAATATAATTTGTGTTAGTGGAATGACATTGTTGGAGACAGGACTCTGACTCAGCGCAGGTTTTTCATCTCATAATCTAATTGTGTGTCCTTCCAATAGCCTTTAAGAGAAAACTTTTCAATCCATTTAAATCCATGTGAGTGTTGTCACTGATTTCACTGCGATGTGAATCGTGCTTTTCTATATATCGAAGAAGGTAGTAAAATTCCCTTTGCCCTCCGCTGTCCTTCTCTTAATCATGTTGATCTCAAATTGAATGCTTTCTCAACTAAAATAAACAATTTTCTCATAAACCTCTTGGGCAACACAATTGCATATCCTGCTGCTGATGACTTCCATCTCTTCACAGAACTTTCTTATCATAGCCATGCCTTTCCATTTAATACCAGGATCAGTTTACCTGTCCAGATGAATATGAGGACCCTGCAGTTCTTTATGAAGCGATTCAGTCATTTGAAGAAAAAGTCATGATTTGTCATGAAGGCGACCCTGCCTGGCGTAATGCCGTCCTCTCCAACAAGGAGGAGCTGCTGACATTGAGGCACGTGGTGGAAGAAGGGACAGATGAATATAAAATAATTATGCTCCACAAAAGCTACTTGAGTTTCAAAGTTATCAAGGTACCACTGCTGTCGACTTTTCATGGTCTAACTGTTAAATTTTCCATCTGAGAAATTCCATGAAGGTAACGATAGTTTTGCAATAACAATTGATTAGTTGATTTAAAAAAATGTTTAAAAAGGAGCAGCTTGACAATAAAAGGCTTAGAAGACATACTTGTTTGGATTCATGAATCTAGACAAAAACTTAATTGTCCTACCTAATGATTGCCCGGAATATACTAACATTAGTGCCCACTAAACTATATACCTTGCACGTCTGATGAAATGAACAGCAGATTTTTTGTGCCCCCTCCTTTTTTTATGAGTCTTGTTGGAGCATTGATAGTTCTCAACTGCGCAGCAAGTGTCCAAAGACCCAGTTTCCTACTCAAAACATAGCTTCAATTTTGAGTGGCAGCATTGACCTCCAGGCTTTTGAGCTTTAATAACCAGCTGTCTTCTTCTCAATACAGTTCAACACTGTTGAGAAAAAGCTGCTGATGAAAGAATCGTCTTACATTTGCAACAAGACTAGTGTGTGTTGTAATTGTGTAGCTGTCACTGTGCCTCAATATACTTTCCACCCACCAAGGAGTTTACATCCTTCCTCCTTTTTTGGCCAACACATGAATTTAAGTTCTCTGTACTTCTAAATATTGCTCCCTGTGCTTGTGTGTAAATTCTCAGAAGCTGCATTTCTAACCACCCTCAGTGGTTTTACATGCACACAAAAATTAAATCCAGAAGCCCCAGCAAAGCTTAAAAGCAATCCTGCATTGTAATTGTCAGGAGGACTGAGACATGAATGTTTTCTTATTGGAAATGTATGCATATGTTGTGTGGTTTTGTTTGCCTATAGGTTAACAAGGAGTGTGTCAGAGGGCTCTGGGCTGGACAACAACAGGAACTAATATTTTTACGCAATCGTAATCCAGAGCGAGGCAGCATCCAGAACAATAAACAGGTCTTGAGGAACCTGATTAACTCTTCATGTGACCAGCCACTGGGATACCCTATGTATGTTTCCCCTTTGACCACGTCATACTTAGGGACCCACAGACAGCTGAAGAATATATGGGGTGGACCAATAAGCCTGGACAATATCAAAACCTGGTTCAGGACCAAATGGCTTCGGTAAGCACAAGGCGTCTGGTGGATTGTAAGGTGCTACTGGAAGAAAGAACTTTGTTCACATTTAGAAGGATACTTTAACCAGGGGTGGGAAACCTGTGGTCCTCAGCCTGATCTTTTCTGGGTTTTGGCTTGATTTCCAAAGATCTTTGCAAATAATCCATTCAAGCAGTCACAAAACTCACCTGATCCTTCCCTAGTGTCCCCCTGTGTTAGTTATATGAGCTTTCTGTGGATATTCACGTTATGCTGGCAAACACACTAAGAATCGTTGTTGTAGGCTTTTCGAGCTGTTTGGCCGAACTGCCCGAAAAACCTACAACTATCTGATCCTGGCCGTGAAAAACTTTGAGAATATACTAAGAATCACCTTGTTGCTGATCTTGCCCTTCCTCTGGGGTTCATGCTTTCATTAATTAAAGCATAATATACATTCACATGGCCATTTATCTGTTGCTTTACTTCAGTGAGTCCAATCAAGACTTATTCATGCCTGCTGAACCTGCTCACCTTTATTCTATTTGGGAACATTTCTAATTAATAGAGAACCTCACTGTGACTAATGAATAACCCAATGACCAGGTTTTTACCCTTTTTGAAGATTTGTTCACTCCTAACTGCTCAAGTTCTCTTTCCATATCTAACTCCCTAGCACTATCCCATGAATCATCCTACTTCTCTTTTTCAGATGTTATTCTTTTTAATAATTAATATGGCATCTGATTGAATATGAATGTCAGGACATCAATTATGTTAAATCAAAATGGCCTTCAGTAGCATAGCATAGGCATCCTTCAGTCTCGAAAGACTATGGTAACATGCTCTGAATTGAGGAGTGTCCCCTCCAGAGCATGAAGCCTGGGTAAAGTAATATGGAGGATAGGCTGTTACCCAAGCAGCAGATCCCCCCTCTCCACGTTGCTGAAATGGTCCAATGGAAAGGCAAGAGCCAATGCGACTGGTTCCGGCAACGTCCCAGGAAAAAAAAACTCAGCAAATTCTCCATGCCTTCAGTAAATACAATATAATCAATTCAACCAACTAACCAATATGCCACACTTCTGCCATCTATAATTCCTTCAGTGCTCATGATTATCAGTCAACACCTACTCACCTGCACACCCTCAATATCAGTAGTGGTAAGAGCATTCCTTCCCAAGTGCAACTAAAATTGGGGCGTTCATAATGATAACCAGAATGATTAACTTGATTAGTCATAAAAACATTCCAGCATATTATGAAGTTTTTTCTTCTCCTTGGTTGCCACCGAAGAGGTATTTTAGTAGAGGTTCTATATTGGTTTAAAATAGATGGACAAGTTGAAGGAACCTGAAGCTATTGAGCCAATCAAAGAAATAAGAAACCTAAGGGGTTGACACCAGTGGTGTAGCTGTCTCAATCTTGGCCATGGATTTAGTGGTTTTACACCTCCCCACACCATCTTTGGAAGCAGCCATGTGTTATATTTCAGTTGTGAAATTCTATTAATATTTCTCTTCTTTCCATTGTACCCTGCCACCATTCTATGCTTTATAACTGCTTCTGTGTTCATGATATATAAAAATAATAATAGCCAAACAAATCTGACAACACTTAGAAAAAGAAAAAAACTGGAAAGATGTATCATATAAAAATGCCTCGAAACTGCATTAATGTTCAACTCCAGTGTTATATGAACGTGTCTTAAAATGTCAGTGATTTTTTGCATATACTATGGACAGCCGCGTCTCTCATCCTTCTGAACGCACTTGTGTTTTGTTTGAGCCACTTGCCTCTGTTGTCAAGCATATAAGAGCATTTAACATCCACTGCCACCACCACCCCGCGCACAGCTTTCTGTTTTTAGTGTCATTTGCCAAAGAAGTGTAAATCAACTAAAAGAATCAAACCATCCTTGTTTAGTAGGGCTGTGCCTAATGGTGGTGTTGGGGGCCTGCTTTGTTTGCTTTTTCTCCAAACAGGATGCGGAAAGACTGCCATCCAAGCCACAACAGTGGAGGAAACCCTGAGGAAGGAGGGAGCCGGAATGGATCCTCTTCCAGCTGCAACCCAGCTAATAATTCAAGCCAGAGCAGCAGCTCCCAGCACACAAGGAACAGCACGCCACAGCTGCAGCCCTCATTGCGAGTTGCCCCATTCCCAGGTATTTATATTGAGGCTTTATTTATTTATTGACAGCAGTTTCATGCTTTCCAGTCATGGAACCTCTGACATAATAAATGTTTAAAACAAGCAAAGACAAGGATTAAGTGGCAACATTGAATGCCATGTGAAGCACCACACCTACTGCCTAGTTGAAAGTAGGTCTGAAAGTGCTACCAATTGTAAATCGAGGTCCACACATATCTGACAGATCAACAAACCACTAAAATAGTCTAACATTGAAAAGCTTTACGCGAGAGAGGCAGTCTTGGAAGATTTTGGCCTCAAGCTGTTTCACTTTCATAAACCTGTTTTATTGCTTCTAGACACAGGGATACAATACAGATAATCCACTAGCTGCTTTACTTTGGCCATTTAGAGTGAGCTAAACAGTGTTTTAACCTGGTTGTTCAAAGTAGGGCTTGTATTTGGGAGAGTCTCTAGGGGCACAAGGGATGTGGTGGCACTGTGGGTTAAACCGCAGAAGCCTCTGTGCTGCAAGTTCAGAAGACCAGCAGTTGCAAGATCGAATCCATGCGACGGAGTGAGCTCCCGTCGTTTGTCCCAGCTCCTGCCAACCTAGCAGTTCAATGGTATGCAAATGCAAGTAGATAAATAGGTACCACCATAGTGGGAAGGTAACGGCGTTCCGTGTCTAGTCGCGCTGGCCACATGACCACGGAAACTGTCTTCGGACAAACGCTGGCTCTATGGCTTGGAAACGGAGTTGAGCACTACGCCCTAGAGTTGGACACGACTGGACTAACTGTCAAGGGGAACCTTTACCTAGGGGCAGAGAATCCCACAGTTATAGGGTATTTGTCTGCCCCTCTAAAAATTGTGCAGTCAAATAGAAAGTCTTGATAATTTCAGACTGTCACAATGGAACATACAGGAAAGCCAAGAGCATGTTTACTTTCAAATGCAGTTTTTTCCAGATGTTGCAGCAGTACAGAATGTAGTTTCAGACTAACCACCACCTGCACACTGCATTTTGAGGGGGTCAAGGGGGAAAATCCTATTTGATCACTGCTATGGTAGCTCCCTGGAAAAGACTCTGATGTTGGGAAAGTGTGAAGGCAAAAGGAGAAGGAGACGGCAGAGGGCGAGATGGATGGACAGTGTCATTGAAGCTGCCAACATGAATTTGACACAACTCCGGGAGGCAGTGGAAGACAGGAGGGCCTGGCGTGCTCTGATCCATGGGGTCACAAAGAATCAGACACAACTTAATGACTAAACAACAACAACATGGTAGCTCAGTGATTTGGGTCGATGACTGTGGAGCTAGAGAGTGGGAGTTTGGTTCCCCACTGTGCCTCCCAGGAAAAGAGCCAACCAGTGTAGTCTTGGATAAGCTGCATACTCCCTGAGAAGAAAGGAATAATAAACCACTTTTGAACATTCTATACCTAAAAATCCTGGAAAGGGTAGTCAGAACTCAACTTGATGACACATTAAAAAAATTCATAAGGACTGCACCAGTTTTTTTTTTTAAATCTTATTTTTCAACATTTTATTCATAATCTAAACATACAAACTTAAAAACATTAAACATCTAAGAAATAATTAGGAAAAAAACACAACTAAATACAACCAGTTGTTTTCAACCTTTTGCCATCCAGATGTTTTCGATTTTAGCCAACAGAACCCCAGTCAGGTTGGCCAGTGATGTAAGATAACTAGCCAGATCAGAATCAGGAAAGGCTAATGTTGCACAACAACAGTAGCTGTTGGAGCTTTTTGTCCTTGATATTAACAGGCAAAGATGCCAGAGATCTTCCTATATATTTAACTTTTGATTAATTTACTGCTGTTGTTGAATTGGTCCAGTGACCAAACATTAGATGCCCTCTTTGCTCATGTAAATTGGCCCTGTACTCATAGGGAAAGCAGATTTAATGGGATAATCATGAGATGCCCAAATGGGTTTCAATATTCCTCAGTTTATTTTTTTTTTGTCTCACCATCTGCAAAATCCAATTAGAAGTGTTTATCACCTTTGAGAAAGATCGGGCACAAGAAGGGATTAGATGCCTTTAAAAAGTGTCTTTATGATAGTTTATAGAAAAGGTTTTTGCTGCCTAAGTATCAGCAGGGATAGAGTTATTTATGTACAAATATGGGTGGTCTACTATATAACATTGTAACCTCTGTGAATTAGCTATGAATATGGATTTTTTGGACAGTGGTCAGTTAGGTAATTTAAATTGTGAACAGATGTTTGGCTGCATTTGATTGTGAGCATTAGCATCCCAGAATCGCTCATCTCACTTCCTAGCTATATATATTTAAGAAATTAGCTTTCAAATGATCAGCAGACCTTCCCAGAAAACAAAATTTAAGACAGATCTGGAACTTCAAGGAACTGATGCTCAACAAGAACAAAAAAGTGTACCGTTAGAAAAGCACTTGGTGAAGGCCTGCATCTAATTACAGTGAAATCCACTGAAATCTTCCCTACCCTTCTAAAGGGGGAAAACATCTGAGGGTGTATGTTCAAAGGAGTGCCAAAGAGCTTTGCACCTTTTTAATGGGAATCACAAGGCCTTTGTACAGGACCCACAGCTTACCATACCAGTTCTGAAAGGCAGCTTTAAAAAAAGAATTATTATACATGAAAAGAATAGAAATATTTATTAATACATTAGTGGAGTAGGATGATATTTTCCAATTAGCACTAATTGTTATTTCATATATGCTTAATATGATGAGATAAAGTACAAGTTCAAACTGAAAACAATTGTATAACCATCCGTAATTGTTATTTCATATATGCTTAATATGAAGTAAAAGTTCAAACTGAAAACAATTGTATACCCATCCATTGCAGTGTCTGGAAGAGAGAGTGAGGGAAAAGACAAAAGTTTAAAATTGGAAATTACTGACTATCCCTTGGAGAACAGGGTTCAAATCCCTGTTTGCCCATAGAAACTCACGGGGGGAGAGGAACTGGTAAATCCACTTCTTAAATATCTTGCTTACCTTGAAAGCCCTATTAGGGTCACTATATGTCTGCTCTGACTTGATCGCATAGAACACACACATCATCTATGGTTCACTCTGTGTTGCCAATACACTCTAACTACCTGGGCTCTGTAATCAAGTTGTGTCTATTTTTGTTTCATGGATTGTGCTAGACAGTGCTTTTGGTGAGGCAAAGTTCAATGGTTCTAGTACGGTATCTTAGTTGGCATGCCTCTTCGGCCTGAGTGCTCCCAAATGATGTGTCTTGATGCCCTACAATGACTTTCTGTGAATGTCTACACTGGGGTTTCTTCATCCTGCCTCTCATAACATCAGTATCTCCACTTGGTTCTTCCTGGACAAGATCAGTTAAGTGTTCAGGTGCTGCTCTCCCACCTTTAGGTCTTCTCCCTGTCTGCTAGCCATAGCCATGGGACCTGTCCCTTCCATGTGTACTTGAAGGCATTTCCAAAGTCTGCGCCTCCATTCTGCTTGCACTTGAGTAGTGTTCTGAGGCAGTTGAAGAATACCCTGAAATAAATTGTCTTCAGATTTTGCATAGTTGTCAGCAGTTAGCACAGTATCGTTGTACAGTGGTGCCTCGCACAACGGGCGCCTCGTAGAGCGATGAATTCGCTCTATGAGGCCGGCTTTGCAATCGTAAATGCGATCGCAAAACGGTGCCTGCATAGGGCGAAAATCTCAGACCCGCCGATCAGCTGTTCGGCGGCTACAAAATGGCCGCCAGAAGCCCCAAAATGGCCGCGCGCAGCGTTTTTGCGCCCTCGTATAGCTGCCGACCATCCTGAAGAGGGCGCGAAAATGGCTGCCGACCATCCTGAACCATCGCTGAATGGTGACTATTCGGCCCAATTGGAACGCATTAAACCATTTTTAATGCGTTCCAGTGGGTTTTTACGTTCCGTTCAACGATGCTTTCACACAGCAAGGGTTAATCCGGAACGGATTAACCTCGCTGTGCGAGGCACCACTGTATTTGGATGTGCCTTAATCATTCTCCGAGCCACTGTGAAAGATCCAGTCCAGAACATCCTTGATGCATTATATTTTCATTTTAACTGCACTTTGTCTGCAGAACATATAACAAAGAAGAGGTAGGGCTGGAAGTACATTTTCCCAGCCTTGCTTTTACCAATGGGAACTGATTTCTTCCATTAAAAAGGAACAGTAACGGGGAGGGGCGTCATAGTTCCCATCCTAGTTTGGAAATTTATATAAATACACACTGTGATTGCCATTAATGGGACAGCCATAGATTTATTGTCCAGTGAATTCTAACACTTTTGAGGCAAATTACTGTTAAGAAATATTTGTAGGCATTAGCTCTGTACACTGTGTCATACAATTCACTATGCAACAGATAAAGTCGATAGAGACTTCTTACTTCTAAAAGTTATGATGTTTGCACAACAGGATTTCAGCATGTTTCATGGTATGCTCCAATGGGAAAAAACAATAGATTTGTTCAATTATTTTCCCCTGGTGTTTTTTGTCTGTTAAACATACATAAATGTGCACATGCACACATGTGCATGCACGTGCACACACATACATACACACTCTGTCCCTCCCCCAAAGGACATGACAATTGACTGAAATTAAGGACCACAGTTTACAATTCAACAAATTGCCTGCTTAATAGGCCTAGCTTAGACCTACAAAGAGACAAATTAAAAAACCCAGTCGTGATATTCATGAAATATCACTGATTAGTGAGATATTCATCCCTTCATATTTTCAGGTCCAGAGACCCCGATGAATACGAAGGGATGATTATATGCCCATGTTTAATTGTCCCTTTGTGTAGATTGGCTGTAGGAACGGAAATGGGGTTTGCCTTCCTGCAGCCAACCTCTTTGTCAATGTCCTGTTGATCAGCTGATGCTCAGGATATTGACAAGCAGGCTGGCTGTGGGAAGGCAAACCCCATTTCCTGTTCCACAGCCAGCCTGCTTCTCAGTGTCTCACCGATCAGCTAATGGTCTTTTCTGCCTGACCAAAGGTTGATACAGA